AAAAATTTTACACCCCCCCCCCCCCCCGGCTTTTCTGTAGCTCAGACAGTGTGTGTGACAAAGCGGAGCAGCCGACTGCCAGCGACTCCCCGGTGCATAAAGTTACCTGTCTTTGTACATTTCTTTTTTTTTTTTCGGGGAGTAACAACTTCTACAACTGGCTGGTGACACACTTTCATCACCTTTCATCAAAGTTGGACTCACACTGGGACGCATTTGTGATGCCGAGCCCACAGGCCATGAGGCTAGCGAGCTGAAGATCTCCCGCTTCTTCGGCTCGGAATAAAGCGGTGCCAAGCGCACGGCCGCACGGGATGTATCGCGCAAGATTCAGTCGAGGAACAACAAACTCCTGTCCAAGTTAGTTGGGAGTTGGCAGATGCCGTCAGCATGGACATGAGGGTACCAAAAGCGTTGGGATGAGACTTGTTTCGGGGTACAGTTTCGTTTTGGATGTGGCTCAGTTGATGGCTTCAGCCAGGATTTGGATTAGGGTCAGGTTGGTCTTTTGCTTGGGCTAAGGAGTTTCTCCAAAACATTACACATGCACATGAGCCTGATTTTGCAAGTAAATGGACATTAAAAAAAAAAAAAAAGACAATAGTCCTTCCTGGCCTGCTGTGAAAATGGAATATTCTGGGTAAGGCAGGCTGGACTCCATTCTATCCCACGTTAGCCCTTCCTCTCTTCGGAGGGCAGTCAGGGTGGATTTGTGGGGCCTTTCTTCACTTGGCCAGGCTGTGTTTTATTCATCGCCGGCGCCCTGACCCCGCACGGCTCCTGTTCTGACAAATCACTTCTGATTAAGACAGATCTCTGTTAGTCAGCCACTCAACTTGGCCTATTCATCATTCTCGGTTTCTCCTCCTACCCCCGCCGCCTCCCGCGACCCCTCCGCCATCCCTCGCTCCCCCGCCGCCGGATCGTTTGCCTGTCCGTCAGACCGAAGCGTGGCGCGAGAGAGAAATTTCCGCCGCCGCTTTAAACGGCTGATTATGGACAATTGGCGGCACGGCGTGGTGTAAGGTAGTCTTATGGGTGATAAGACGCCAGTGTAATGGGTATAAATGACCGAGCTGGCAGGAGAACAGCTGCTAATAGATGCATTTGTTTAAAAATGAGCAAAGGTGCAGAGAATTGAAAGCTGCATTCCAGCACGCCCCTCGCCCCCTTTTCAAAGTCTCAAAGCTTCAAATTTACATGTATTATTTAAGCCCCTCAAAGTCACTCTCGTTCAGCCGGAAATCAACTTCCTCCACTGCGGCATTTTCCTGAAGGCCGGCTCATATTTAATACCTGGCATGACACGTGATATTTACAATAAATGCAATCACCAAAGCGAATCAAAAAAGCATTCATACGCAAAATGCTTTAGCGCTGTATACAGACTCCTGACAATGTAGGCGGGCGCGCGTCGACAGGCATTGTGTTCACGCGCTCAACAAACTCCATTAAATTAGCCTGAACGCCAACCGGCGCCGGTGGCAGAGGGCGGCGGGGCGGGGAGGGATGAGCGCAGAAAAGCCCGGGCTGCCGCGAGCGCAAATTGCTTGGACTTAATCAAGCGCTCTTTACTCAAGCATCCAAATGAAAACTAATGGACTTTGGCTGCTTGGGTGTGACAAGGCAAGAGATTTTTTTTTTTTTTTTTTTTTTGAGGTCGTCAATTAAAAACAAAGGCGATGATAAAAATTGAACAGACGACCGGTCAGCCAATACAGCCAAGCTGACATATTAATTCCATTTCCACTGTTGAGAAAATGATTATTTTTTTTTTTTATTAACTTGCTGGAATTGGTAAAAAAAATGTATGAAGAGCAGAATTAAAAGTCACCTTCGAACCTTGTATGCATTATTCAACACACTGACATTTGCCGTTGCGCAAGACTGTATGACAAAAAAAAAAAAAGAAAAACAGTACACAAAAGAATAATAAGTCCTGCAAGATGAAACTAATTGAAGTCCAT